ATCAGCCTAGCTCACAGCAACCTCAAACTCCTGGGCTCCAAGCAATCCTCCTGCCTCAGCCTCCCAAGTAGCTGGGACTACATGCAGATGCCACCATGACCAGCTAATTTTTTCTATTTTTAGTAGAGATGAGGTCTCGCTCTTGCTCAGGCTGGTCTCAAACTCCTGAGCTCAAGCAATCCACCCTCCTCAGCCTCCCAGACTGCTGGGATTGCAGGCATGAACCACTGCGCCAAGCCAAAAAAAATAAAAGTAAATATTTAAAGGAATAAATTGGCCATTATATTTTTTCATATTTTCTGATAACCAACATAACCTTGTATTTTATTTCTCAAGGTGTTTGTAGATTTCTTTGTAGTTTGACTATTTTTGTTGTTCTCAAGTAACTATTTAACAAATTTTTGTCATTTTGGAGTCTTTTTTTTTTTCCTGAAATAAGCTTATGGGTATTACCGTATGCAGATACATTTATTTATTGTTTTCACAAATACTTAAAACTATAGTTTAGGATTTTTTAATCTAACCAGTTGTGTGTCCTGGAGAAATTTTGTCAAAACTTGCTATTTTACATGCACCTTTGTTAAAAATTTATAAGGTATGAATACTGCAAATTGTTTTGTTTAGGAATAATTTGCCCTCTGGAGAAGACAAGGTCACTAAACTTAAAGTGACTATGGTAGCATGGGATCGCTATGATACCACAGTTATTACGGCAGTGAACAATTTCCTTTTGAAAGTATGGAATTCTATCACAGGGCAGCTTCTTCATACTTTATCTGTAAGTATTTTATTTTTAGAGTAATTAAAATGTAAAAAGTACATTATTCTAGGAGACAGGAAATGTAAGTTCTAGTTTTCTTTCTATGACTTACTAGCCTTTGAGGAGTAATTATTTGAGGGATCACTGTTGACATTTCTGCAAAATAGAATGACACATGGTATACTTGCTAAAAGCAGGTGTGAAATCTTTTCAAGATCCTTTCTAATAGCCATTTATCTATTATGTTATAGTATCCAATGAAGAATGTATAAGTTATTTTGTTTTTAGCAGGGGCTGGAATTTTTCATTATTATTTGTTTAGGGGAAGAGCTTACCTTATTTCGACAAGGATATCATGTATATTCTACCTTCAGTAATTAGATTATGCAAGAAATAGAGGTAAGAAGAAGTAGGAGATAAAAGGTGGTTTTTCCTCATTCTTTTAAAAAATGTATCTGTCATCGTAGAAGGCTGCAGTATTTGTGGGGTGAAAAGTTGATAGGGTTAATAGCAGAAGTCACTATTGATTTTTGATGTTTGTCAGTTTATCATAATATTGCTTGACTTCAGATTAAATTCAGTTTAAAAGCCTTATTTCTTGTCTGCTTAAAATATCAATTCATAAGCATTTTAAGGACAGAAGGCCCGGAGATTGCCATATGGTTTACACAGTAGTAAGTGTTAGGGTTCAGACTAGAAATAAATACTTGTGACTCAACTTTCTTTGTAATATACCATAGCATCATTCTTATTTGACTCCTATGTGAGATAATCTTAGCCTAAGGCCTCTGAGGTTTCTAAAGATTTGTTTCATTTGGGGAGGATTTCCAGTTTATCTTTCATATACCTCCCAAGTCCTCTTTAACATGTATTAATATAAAAATTATTAATGAAATATTTTACATTCTTTTTTCATAGTAAATCTTTGAAATCTACTATGTATTTTATGCTTACTGAATATCTCAATTCTGTTTAGCCACATTTCAAATGCTTAATAGCCACACGTGGCTAGTAGCTACAGTATTAGACAATGCAGTTCTGTATCTCTTAAATTACAATTCAAAAGGCCTTCTTGTAGCTGCTAGTTTTATAGATCCATGTAAAATTTGTCTTAATAAGTACCTTAATTTAGAGTCCTGTTTAGTGGCACTCTTCCCCTGGTCTGACTCATGGGGTCATATGTTTTCAGTGAATTTTACTGAAGAAATTTTCGAACAGACTATATTTAGTCCTTGTAACAGTCAAATCTACTTAGTTTTGGTATAGTACTTATATTTCAGTTTTATCAATTTATGTATCAGGGTCTTTCAGTGTAAAGTTCTATTCAGCAAATGCTTTTTGAGCATCAACTGTGTGCCAGACTGAGGTGTTAGGAATAAATGGTAAATTAAACAGAGCCCTGTCCTGCTGGAATTTACTGCCTATTAAGAGAGAAAAACTTATTCAGGTAAGTGCTGAGAAAGAAAAGGGGAAGATAGAATGGAAGTTTCTAATAGGGTGATCAGATCTGATCTGGTAGAATCAGAGAAAGTTTCCTTAGGAAGTGAAGTTTGGGTTAAATTTTGAAAGATAAGTAGGAATTACCCAGTTCTTGGCTTAAATGCCACCTCCTTGATTAGCCCTTCCCTGATCAAACAATCCAAGGTAGCCTCTCAGTCTTTGTCTTATTACATTACCTTGATCTATTTTCATCAGTGTTTATTATTACCTGATGTTGTTTTCTTTCTTTCTTTCTCTTTATTTCTTTTTTCTTTCTTTCTTTCTTTCTTTCTGTCTTTCTTTCTCCCTCTCTCTCTCTTTTCCTTTCCCTTTACCCTTTTTTCTTTTTTCTTTTCTTTTCTTTTCTTTTCTTTTCTTTTCTTTTCTTTTCTTTTCTTTTCTTTTCTTTTCTTTCCTTTCCTTTCCTTTCCTTTCCTTTCCTTTCCTTTCCTTTTCCTTCTCTTCTCTTCTCTTTCTTCTCTTCTCTTCTCTTCTCTAATCTTCTCTTCTCTTCTCTTCTCTTCTCTTCTCTTCTCTTCTCTTCTTTTTTGACAGGGTCTCACTGTGTTGCCTTGGCTAGAGTGCAGTGGCATTGTCATAGCTCACTGCAACCTCAAACTTCTGGGCTCAAGCCATCCTCCTATCTCAGCCTCCTGAGTAGCTGGGACTATAGGCATGTACCACCATGCCCAGCTATTAATAATTTTTAAATTTTTTGTAGAGATGGGGTCTTGCTATTGCCCAGGATGGTCTCGAATTCCTGGCCTCAAGTGATCCTCCTGCCTCAGCCTCCAAAAGTGCTGGGATTGCAGACATAAGCCGCCATGCCTGGTCTTTACTTGATATTTTCTTGTTACGTTTTGTTATTTGTCTTGTTTGGTGTCTCTACATGGAGGGAGGGTCAACAAATATTTGGTAAATCACATATGTGAGGAGGTTGGGAGATTCTTCCAGGAAGAGGGGGTGGCATGTGCAAAGGTCCTAAGATGGAGGAGAGCTGGAAAAAAAGCTAATTTGGTTAGAGATTAGAAAGCAGAAACAGGCTCACCAGATGAGACTGGAAAAGTGGAGAGGGACACGACCATTCAGAATCTTGTAGGATTTATCCTGTGACCAGTAGGAAACCATTAAAGGCTTTAAAGTAGAGGAATGACGTGTGAGTTTTACTTTTGAAAAATACCTTGTAATTATGGTCATAGTAGAGGGAATAGATTGGAGTGAGGTAAGAGTGACTGCAGATAGACTGTAGAGTCTATGATGGTAGCCAGGATGATGATGTAGATTTGGGTGGCGGTGGTGGAAATAGAAGTGTGCTTAATAAATATAATTTATGACAGATGCTATATCTTACAACATTACTGATTTTTACTAGATAATTATTCCCCATGCTCCAGTGACTATATCCTATCTTAAGGCATGTGACCAAAAAATGAAAATCCCCAATGTACACTGAAGTATTTGTACCATTTGAGTTTAACAAAGTAATTTTGTTTTCCTGGTTAGGAACCTGAGAAAGACATTTGCTATAGCAAATTGATTATTGAGCAAAGGATTTTGTTACAGCAAAGAACTTTTTCAGTATTCACTGGGAAGGGTTTGGGTAAACTTTCAGTTGTGATAGTATTTATTGTAATGCGATTTTACCTATTCATCTTAACTTTACATTTTGAGCCAGTCTCCAGTTATTTTTTAATAAGCTATGTTTTTGTTGATAATGGCAGTATGGTAGGATATTCTGTTACTCCAATTTATACCATGATTTAGGATAAAATGCACTTTTGTAGTTCACAGTGTATGGTCATTTTTAGAAGCTCCTGATGTGTGATGTGCCAGTATGTTCCTAAATGAAATGCAGCTTCAGGATGTTCTCTATGCTTTTCTAAGACTTTGAGACTGTTATTAATCATATACTCTATGATATATAGTCAGGATTTAAGTCTAAGGAAAATCAACAATGATCTTAAAACAGGCGTGTCTGCAAACTTTTTCTTTAAGAGGCCAGATAGTAAATACTTTTAGACTTCGCACATACAGTTTTCATTCCATATTCTTTGTTTTATTTTGTTTTGTATTTTTTGCAAGTTTTAAAAAATTTAAAAAACATTTTTATTTCACAAGCTGTATGTACAAACACATCTGGGAGCCATATTTGGCCTGCAGGCTATAGTATGATGACTCCTGATCTAACATCTCTATATACTGATATGAAATGATTTACTGGAAGGGAAACATATAACATAGAGCATTGGTTTTCAAACTTTTTTTTTTTGCAGAAAATGTATTTCTCAGATAAAGATGTTAAACAGCACCCTCAAGTATTAGTATAAAGTAGATCTAGGGCAGAGCCAGTATGCTCTGTCCTTTGAATGTATCTAGGGCCTCCCAAAGTACAATTTGAATACCAGTGATAGAGAGTGCTGAAGAATAATGAAAGTTTGTCTGTTATCACTGTGGCAGAATTGGGTGTTAATGAAATATTGTTTGTTACATTTTCTGTGGCCTTTTAAATAGCACAATCCTAAATATCAAATTCTATTTTAGGGCACTGGTTAATGTGCTGTAACTTTTTGGACTCTCTTTATTTTAAAAACATTTCTTGGTCTTCTGTCTACTGAATACTTTATAAAATCAGCAATTAATACACATAAGGAACTCTGACTGAATGATATTGTTCATGTAGTGTCTATAATAGTAAATGCCATTAAATTAGTGTGCATGAATTCATCTGAACCAGATTGATAGGACGCCCAAGACCTTTTGACCAAATAAGCCAGATCCTTGACATTACTTTTCATTTTTATATTGATTTTATCATAGGGACATGATGATGAAGTATTTGTTTTGGAAGCACATCCATTTGATCAAAGGATCATACTTTCGGCGGGTCATGATGGGAACATTTTTATTTGGGATCTTGACCGGGGGACCAAAATTCGGAATTACTTTAACATGGTAAGGGAAATCTGTGTTTAGTTAATATTAAAACTGACTTCTCTTATGTGATAACATGGTAATCACATTTTTACCTAGTGTAAAGGAACCTCTTATTATCTGTATTTAAATCAGTAAAATAATCCAGAGAATAACTTATGTGAGAATTAGGCCTTTCAGGGTTGACTCTATTATTTTAGGTGTTAGCATTTTCCAAATTCTGGTCCCCAGCTCTACGCTTCAGAAACTCAATTTATTAAGCTTTGGAGGTAACACCTAACCAAAAATCACAAAATGATTAATGATTAAACTCTAATACTGATTTATGAATTACAACAGTGACTGTAATATTAATACTTGCATCTTCCTCTCGTAAACATAAGACTTAGTAATCAGAAAGTTGTTTGACAAACACAAATTTGGAGATAATGGATGCTCTTAAGATATACTTAAGACAAACCATGGAAAAATCTGGTGAGCTATCTGTTCTCTCAGTAGAGCATACCCTTCTGTGGTGATGGGAATCCTCATATCCTCCATTTTTAGTGTCCCTCTTTTAAGAATAGTTCTGACTAAACATTTCTAAATTGTTGGTTAGCCTTTGAGCTCACTTTTATAGGCATTATACAGATCCAGAGCATTAATAATACTCTCTGTCTTTTGTTAGTAAAATTGATTTGTGTGCTTTAATTTCAGGATGGTTATTTTAAGGCTTAATTACATTATAACTTAAAATGTGAAGATAATATCTTGACTTTGCTAAGATAGCACCTTTGTCAATTTGGTTGCATTTAGGTCCTTTTAAATCTCCTCAGTCACCCATTTAGTATTTCATGAGATATGACATTTCTAGCAATGATTTATTCCATTCATTGCAATTTGACTGTCCCTAATATTTTTCAGAGCTTTACTGTTTCAATAGGGTTCTGGCTACAGAAGCCAGAGAGTACATTGGAATATTGATGCATCACAGAATCCAAGGTATTAGCAAGGAAACGTTATCACCTACTTATTATTTGAAAATTACTTTTAAGATGACTTAAAGAGACTCCTCTGAATTTCAGATTGAAGGCCAAGGTCATGGTGCAGTGTTTGATTGTAAATTTTCCCCAGATGGAAACCATTTTGCCTGTACAGATTCTCATGGGCATTTGTTGCTTTTTGGTTTTGGATGCAGTAAATACTATGAAAAGGTTAGTAGATTTAACTGTTGTAGACTGTAATTTGGGATTATATCATTCATAAATTTTGTTTGAAGTCTTCCAGTTAATAAGGGTTAGTAAGGAAGTTGTCTTTCTTGGTAAGTTTTTTATTACTGCCAGAGCATCAACCTCGGCAATGTGAATCACTATGGAGATACAGGATGATGGAGATATAAGTTTGTTAGGAAATCCTTTTGCTTCTGATTAGTACATATTCTCTACTGTATTCCAGGCATAATAAGAGGGTAACAGATCATGTCTTCCACTTAATCATAAATTAGGAATGAGCAGCTGGTGATTGAATGTTTATTTTCTTGGTTGGCTATTTTACCTATTATTGATCCTGTTAAAATACTTTGGAAGCTAACTTAATTGGCTCCTTATATTTTATTAGTTGTGAATTTGGGATAGATTATAGAATCTTAGATTTGGAAGAGAACTCAGAAGCATTGAGGTCAGCTCAATATTCGTATCACCTTTGAGTGTCTTTGAGGTGATTGGTATTTACCTGTCTCAGCAGGTATATTATAATTCATCTATCCTCATTTGAATAAAAATAAACAATAAAAACATAGTTATATAGGTTTATATGATTTTTGCAACTTATGTAAAAATACCTAACTTTATCTGCTGGGTTGTTGCTTTACTTCTTCCTATCATAATTACAGAAGGGTGACATACGACCAAAAAGTAATGCAGAATATAGGATTTTGTGGAGAAAAGATAGAGTAACTATCTAGGTAATCGGCTTCTATGTAGAGGGAACATATGGCAACAAAGGACTACAGAAAATGCAAAAATTATCTGATTTGAAAAACACATGTGCTCTAGGAATGAAAGTCCTCATCTATAAATTTCCTGTGTGTGTTGAATACTAAAAATCTGTCATAAAGATTCCAGATCAGATGTTCTTCCACACGGATTATCGACCACTTATCCGTGATGCCAATAACTATGTGTTGGATGAACAAACCCAACAAGCTCCTCACCTCATGCCTCCCCCATTTTTGGTGGATGTCGATGGAAATCCTCATCCCACAAAATTCCAGCGCCTAGTTCCAGGACGGGAAAATTGTAAAGATGAACAACTTATACCACAGCTGGGATATGTGGCTAATGGTATGTTATTTCTCCAAAAGTAAATTTAAAACATTTTGCAAAATGTTATACTTGCTGCTGTTCTCTCCATGATGTATACTCCCTGTTAAACTTTGGAGTAGGTTATAAGATATTTTATATACTACTACTATTAATTTCAGTTGTATACTACTTTTTACTCTACCAGAGTACATTTTCATTATTTATCTCACCTAGACACAGACAAGTGGGTTAGGATAAACACAAGCAGAGAATGTGTTCACATACCTCCTTAGAAACACATATGTATGGCTCTATAGTATTGCATTCTAGTAATGAATAAATGTACTAACTAATGTATCAAAGTTTTATAATATAATTGGTAAAATTTCCTTGCTCATAGTATTGGCATTTTAGTTTGAGAGTCCATAGTTAATGGAACTTAGAAGAAGAAATTTCAAAAACCATGAACTGGTAAGTAGCTCTTTA